CGCTGAAGGAAATGCTCATCCATTGACACTCCTCAACTATCAAAACACCACTGCCGCCAACCTTGCCCAGCACGCATCATCCCCCATAACCTCACCACCAGCTTCCGACTCCACCCTAACACTTACCGACGACTCCGTCCTCACCGACTACTTCTCGGTCATTGACCAGGTAGAAACTAGTGCCCTGTTCGAATCCGCTATCACCTCCCAGCAGTACGCCATAGAAATAGATCATCTCCTTGGAGAATGGGGAGCGATCTCTAGCGGCCTTATTATCAGAATTATTAGAGATGCCAGTCTTATTGACCGTACCGCCGCCCTCCTTGATGATGAGCACCATCAAACTATTTTCTGCCACCTTCACATACATATTCGTAACACTGCGATCTGTCTCTTGCCTGAAGAAACTAGAGATGCTATTAGAGAAGCTATCCACATCGTCACCGAGCGCATCGCCCTCGACCCAGTCGCACGACCACCATCCCCTCACATCGTTATTCCCATACCGCCACCAGCTCCTACTACAATGACTACCGTGGAGCATCAGGATGATAATATCCCTCCTATTGCTGTACTCAATGTACCGACTTCTCCTTCTCCTAACCCCATCACGCGTACTACACGACGACTCCCACTTAAACAAAGATCCTCACACCTCGCCGCTAAGCGAGCTGCCTCCATCTCCCCCGCTAAGGCACCACTTAAACAATTGAGATCGCCTTCCCCAGACCAATCCTCTTCCGTCACAATCATAAAAACGTCGCCAGTTGATAACGTCATATGTCATAACTGCCATGTCGCCGGGCATCGTCATAAGAACTGCCCTTCATATTACTGCAGAGTTTGCAAGGAGTACGCACCGGGCCACTTATCGGTCTTTTGTAAAGAGTTGAAGGGAGAAGCGGTCATTCCTTTGGTATGGACTGATGTTGGTTTCTACGACGCTCTTGCTTGATGGGAGATTGAGCAAGACGCTATCGCTCACGCCGAAATGGCGCAGACTACTATCACCGAGGAGCAGGACGATCTGCTTTATTCCAACTACGACGCGGACCCCATTTACTGGGCTAATCAGGACAATTGAAGTCAGTGACTTCATCCCTAAATGAGGGGTAATGTTACAATCGTGGTTACCCCCTATCTCTTTTTCTCGTACTTGTGTATTATGTCATGACCGCACCTGGCTGTGCCATCATTAGACTAACCGCCTTCTATATCTGTATTACATCACAACCGCCACGTGCCATCGCTAGATGACTCATTCCCTTATCTCTGACTCGACTGATGACGTGTACGTACCTGCCCTAAAGGACCTACGCCTATATAAACCCAGTCATGTACTTAGATAGAACTTCACTTTAATCTACTAGGTCTTACCTGAACTATCCTTCGCTTAGGACCTCCAATCCTAAGCCGTCTGATAACCAATATTCGAGCCAGAGACACTCTCTCTGACTTGTCTTAAGAACCTTACATTTGTAAGGCCTAGATCCAGCTTCAGGCGTGCTCTTATCGAGTACCTGTCGTCGTGCCCATCCTAGTTCGCCATAACAATGGCACACTGGTAATTAACAACAAACAAACATTAATAACACATCTAATGCTATCTTATCTTGTTACATGGATTTTTCCCTCCCACCACTATGGCACATCATAATCATGCCGATTCTGCCTCATCATCTCCCTCTTCCAGTGATTCAGAGGTGAGCACTCCACCAAGCACACCACCACCTCAGATATCTGGGAAACATGGGAGAGATGTATCCAACACATCTGATAAGGAAGGACACAAGTCCAAAAAGGCCAGGTGAGTCATTCAACAATGTCAGTTGTTCCAAACAGAGCTTACCTGAAGCATATAAGATGCATAGCCCAGTTAGAGCTAAAAAGAAGGCTGAAAAAACATCAAGGTGATGTATTTCATTTTTACACAATCAGATAAATCTCACCTTGATGAGATTCTAGAAGATCATGTAACAAAGAGCTCACCCCTCAGGACCAGTGCATACACATTGCATGATGGATCCCACACGGCCTAGATATGTTCTGCAATCTTAAGCAGGTAATCCAGGTGTGTTTACTGTTAGAACAAGAAGAAGTGGCCAAGGATGGGGACAAACAAGAAGAAGAACAAATCAAGGCTGCCCACAGGAAGATTTTGGACAAGTTGTAAGTCCACTTGACTGCATATACAGTGGCTCAAAAAAATGTCTGAATGTTTATGCATTTTCAAGTAATTGGATAATAGCAAGCCAGCACCTGAGTACAATATAAAGGCATAGGGACAAGTCTAAAGGCTTGACATCATAGCTATAATCTGAGATATATATCATGGGAACTAGACCACATATGGGCAAGATATGGTAATTCTAATCACATGACTCATTTGGACACTTTTTGACTTTATATCCAAATCACAAAATCCAACCATTCACAGATATTATTCTTAATAGAAGTGGTGCAATAATCAATATTTGGTCTTGTTTTAATATTATTTATATATATGAACCCACATAACATCATGAACTTTAACATAATCATCATACAGCCCATCTCCTCTGCTTCAAAGGATAATATCCTTATTCTCTGCTCCTCTAGTTTGTCTATGAGGCAAATTGCTTCAAAAACTGGTCCTAGCAAGTCTACTATTTTGCTATAGTCATAAACCAGAACATGCTAGAGAAGGAAAATCATAAAATGGGATGGTCTTTCAAGCTTACTCTACAGCATAAAAGAGCTATTGTTTATTAAAGTCCATCTGGCAAGGCTTCAAATGTTGTCCATGCCACCAAGTTCATCAATTCCATCATCCCCACTCCCATTCCCACTCAAACAGTCAAAAACACCCTTAAGGCAGCCAATCTTATGGCTGTAACCAAAAAGAAAATGCCTCTGGTTTCAGCAGCCTATAGGGGCCTTTGCTTTAAAGCACCAACATTGGACTATGGAAGACTGGAAGAAGGTAGGAATATGTGTCAAAAAAGGTAGGGGAACGATCAGGGGAAAGAGAAGTCAAGAACATACTAAAGTTTGGAAGATGAAGTATGATAGTAGGGGTTGTAGGAGATGGAATGGTGTGGGGATTCTTTGTGAGGTGGAAGGAGGCATGAATGTAGAGCAGTGAATCTCCATTCTAGAGAAGTGTCTACTCAGAAGCATGCAGAAGTCAGCAATTGATGAAGAAGACATTATCTTCCAACTGGATAATGACTCCAAGCATACCTCAAAGCTCATGAGATCAATGTTCTATCATTGCCAGCATAACTATAGCAATAGTAGATTTGCTAGGACCAGTTTTTGAAGCAATTTGCCTCATAGACAAACTAGAGGAGCAGAGAATAAGGATATTATCCTTTGAAGCAGAGGAGATGGGCTGTATGATGATTATGTTAAAGTTCATGATGTTATGTGGGTTCATATATATAAATAATATTAAAACAAGACCAAATATTGATTATTGCACCACTTCTATTAAGAATAATATCTGTGAATGGTTGGATTTTGTGATTTGGATATAAAGTCAAAAAAGTGTCCAAATGAGTCATGTGATTAGAATTACCATATCTTGCCCATATGTGGTCTAGTTCCCACTGATATATATCTCAGATTATAGCTATGATGTCAAGCCTTTAGACTTGTCCCTATGCCTTTATATTGTACTCAGGTGCTGGCTTGCTATTATCCAATTACTTGAAAATGCATAAACATTCAGACACTTTTTTGAGCTACTGTATACATGCTTTGATCGCATATATGTATACTAACATCATTTTCAAGGATGATTTCACTTGTGCATGATACAAGTGAACATTCAAATATGTCATGGAACATGCCCCTTACCTTGGGGATTTGATCAGTAAGAGGAAGAAAAAACACAAGGAGCTCGAGCAACTCATCACCGAGGTATGTAAGTCACCATATACATGATTGCAGTGTGCTACTAGCATCTACAGATGCAAAACATGATCAACCATACATGCTCCAAAGATGCAAGTCATCTCAAGTCCCACATGGGCTTGTATGCAGCTCCTTTTCCTGATAAACAGGTTGTCCAACCTGTAATTGCTGAGGACAGCAAGTCTTGTTCCAGAATGGGATTCAACCACCCAGAGCTGGCAAAAATGCTTTGTCCTGTGAAATATCTGGTTGACTACCTCGAGGATCCAGCCAAGTAAGTTTATGTTTCTTGAATTACTTGTACTAATGCCACTACAGAACAAATAAGAAAATCCAAAGTGGATCACTGAAGGTGACTGCCGCCTTATGGCCCACCTACCTGTATCCTGGGGATAAACCAGGGCAAGACTTCGACCCTGATGACATCATTGAGGGACTTTTCCAGGGGTATCTTTTGGAGCGAGTGAGTAATTCGTTCTTAGATTATGCTTGTGTATTGTTACAGCTGTGTGTGTATATAATGGCACTGGCATGTTGGGAAAATCATAATTGAGGATCTGGGACTTCGAAAATTTTCACTGTTTTGAGACTTAGAGAAAAATTCAAACAATTGCACCATGTCGGACAACAATACACCTAGTATGGTCAACCGAAAGATCTCATCCGACATCAAACTCGCTGCCATTCACCTGTATGAGCAAGATATCCTTAGTCTTCGTGAAATCCTTGATTGCGTCAGCTTCTCAAGACGCACATTCTTCCGCATCCGAAAGCTCTATCAGCACACCAGCGATGTAGTCAAACCATGGAGTGAATTCACAGGTCGTCCGAGGAAGCTGAATCTTGAGGATGTTCAGTACCTCGTGGAACTGGTTCACCACCGGCCAGATTGGTTTCTCGACGAGATCACTCGACTCATGTTATGCAACCGCTTCATTGCACTCCACTACACCACCATCCACCGTGAGCTCCATCGTGCGGGCGTTTCCCTCAAAAAGCTCCGTAAAATCACCAAAGAACAAAATGAAGATCTCCGTGTGATGTGGCATTATGTAACACAGAATGGTAAAAAAAAACTAAGTCCCAAATCTCAATCGTGATTTTCCCACAACACGCCAGTGCCATTAGTTTCGCAAACTGCTGTAATCTATTCAGGTAACCAAGCATATTTTTACATCTCCTTCCTCTGCACTAACGACTGGTGTCTTGAATGGCACACGCCCTGGCAACGCAAAAATCCATGGAATGTCCAAAGTGGATGCCGAGCATATTGTGTATGCCGCAGTTCAGGTAAGTTTTTTTCTAATCGGCGCGCTCTTGACTTACTTTGTACCGGACAGGCTCGTTTTGGTATCAGTTCCCTCGACAAATGGAACGACAAGGATGGCTACTTTCATTACAGCGACTTTTACACCAGGATCACATGTCTCATTCACAACAGGAACTTCGATGGGGAATGGGTTGACTCACTACTAGCGCATTATAACGAGTAAGTCATCCACTATATTGATTTGATATCTAATGTCTATTTGTATCCAGGATACTGTTTGGCAATGAAAACGGTGCCAAACCGTCTCATTCCGAGAACATCGACTGTTCGGATGACGACGACATGATCGCAATGGAACGCCAACTCGCCGCACGCGCTTCACGAGCTTCCAGATCCACGGATCCAGCTCCTACACAATCTTCAGTGCCCCAACAGAAGCCACGTCAGGACCCCCTACCTCCGCCGCCTCAAAGGCCCACTCCAGACTCACCAATCGCCCTTGCACCTGTCAATTCCCGCAATGATGCACAACGCGCAGTCTCACCACTTCCTCCTTCGTCTCCTCAAGAGTCTGTTAGCAACACGCCAGTCATTTCACGCAAGCGCAAGATTGTCTCTGCACCCGTTGACGACTTGTTCAACGATGACAGTCCTTTGACAGAGGAAGAAGAGCCGGAGGTCATTCAGCCTGCAAGGCGCGGACGGAAAGGGTGGGAAGGCAGTCAAGGCTGATCATTCGCTTGCCGTTCGGAAAGTAGGATATGGATGGAATAGCCTTTTTGTGACCCTTCAAGGTCAACACGTGTGTCAGAGTCAGTTTCTTTGCTGCCACGGTAGCCTGTGGCGATCCGGAATACATGTCCCGTTTCTGCGCTAGAGAGGCTGACAAGTACAATAAGGCTGTTGTTTGGAAGCATCCCAAGGGCCGTCGGTGAGGCTATCTCGTATCCTGTGGCCTGACGTTGATAGTAATTTCGAAGGATACCCACCTACTGGCAGCTGGTATACTTTGCCTGCCGATGTCGATCGTCAGTTTGCTAGCCCGGATGAAAGAATCTTTCTTGATTTATACTGCGCCATTACATTCATTGATTTGTTACTCTCTAATAGTAATAATACGATGTCAGCATTGCTGGCTGTATACGAGTAAGTCAAAAGAAGGTCTGAAAGATTGTAGTTCCGCATTCGTCGATCACCGAGCATTACACACTACTGCCAGTCGATATATGCACGCGCTCCTGGAAAGCGACTGAGGTCATACAAGTTGCTGCGTCAGAATCGACCACGAGCTTAGCGTGATATTCTCGAATCCCAAGGATCAGGCGTGGTCCTAGCACAAACGACTGCACGACATCCAAAATCTGAAGAATGCCATAATATATCTGAGCTTCCAGGGAAGAGGGGTCCTATAGAAACGATGAACCGTGATCACATGCAGAGGTAAGTGCAAGATTGACGTACCGCTGAGAGTGTCGGAGAGAGATTAATAATGAGCTGGAAGCAAGAAACAGCAACAAAGCTACCACGTCCGACCCTTCAGTGGAAAGAAAGGAACAATAATCACAACATGAGCTCACCTCGCAAAGTAAAACATGTGAGTTTTCATCAATACCGTAAAGCAGTCCTTGAAAATCCCTGCTGTTGAATGTTGTCGCAGTTCACGGAAGTGTTTGACAACAATCCAGATTGCGAGACATAGTGCGAGCACCTCCCACACAGCGCCGAGTATCCAAGGAATGGAATACAGAGGTAGTTTACCTCCCGTGTAACCAATCGTGCATTGATAGGTGCCGGAGAGAATGAGTTCCTCTGGTATGTATTAATGAGCCCCATGTACATTTTTGCCATCCACAATTAAGCGTACCTCCTAAAGTATGTATCGCTGTCAATACAGCAATTACTCCGTTGAAAATGTTGTCAGCCAGGAAGGCGACAATGAGAAATACCAGAATCTTTCTGGATTGTTGATACATAGCATGCAAGCGAGTGACCATGATGACTTGTAGCATGTTTGAGTCTTGTCAACATCATTGAGGTCTCGCAACTCACCCCACAGCATTGCAAATACCAAAACATACGTCCAACTACATACGACGGACATAATCCAGCCTGACGAATCTAGTCAGTGACCAGCTTCGGGTAGCACACACTCCAAACACACTCACATCTGTGGCAGTATAGTGTAGCAGTCATTAGTGAACTAGGAAGTTAGTAAAGCATACTCACTCCTACAGGGCACCACGGTTAATTGGAGGGAAATAGTAGGCATCTGTGCAGAAGACTCACTGTATCTGTCAGCGAGATGGTCGGAACACTGTCTGTATGCTGTTGGTTAGAAGAAGCAAAGACAGAAAATGTACTAAGGAGACATACCCAACAGGTTCAGGCTGATTATGAGAGATAGACGGTTAGCACAACACCGATTGTTTAACCTTCCGAACATACGCAGCAAATAGGATTCCAAAGTAGCGCACCTAGGATACTCTCAAGTCAGCACAACATGACAACTGTGACAGGCAAGCTACGTACACTGAGATACAGAACTGTCATTATGGACCAGCGTTGCCTCTGGAATGAAGTGTATTTTCATGCGTGTTCCTCTGACATGAGACTCTACTCACCCAGACCAATTCGACCTATAAAATCATTTTTAGCGAGATGGTTGCTCCGGTCGTAGCATTGACATACCTCTTGTCCGAATGTAAGTGCTGGAAAGTGACTACTTTTAAGATATCAGCGGTTCTTCAATATTATTACGCTCACCCCAATCATACACGACTCCAACAAAGGCGGCAACTGCGAACCACAGTCAAGGTTAGATTGAGACATGAGCTTCAACATCCGACTGCCCTTCACAAACCTAAAAAGTAGCTGGAAATACGGTATGCATTGATGACTGGCCACCAAGTGGGATCATTTGAGACTATGATCATAATGGTGGAGAATAGGGGTGTGGGTGGGAGGTGAACTTGGTGGACGTATGGCGATGGCATATATACCACCGTCCAGTGCTTGGATCACCAATTGCAAAATGACATAGAAGGATGATGCCCAGTGAAATTTATGTCCGTTCCTGCGCATGCCTGGATTCACGGACTCAACGTAAGTGTCGGGTGAAACATTTGTACCGGTGGAACACTTGAACACCGAAGACAAATTGTGTCGGCATGCCGATACCAGACCAAATTTTCAAAGATAGAGGGAAAGCAAACAGATAACTCATGTTCTACTTGTGTGCAAGCACATATCTCAATGTCTGCTATTCTCGCTCCTTGTCCTCGGGCCATTTGTCGCGTCATGAACGTTCTGAACACCTGGCCTCGGTTATCGGGCTTTCGTATCAGCAGGTTTGCCAACAATGATGAGCTTGAGCGCAGAATTATCTGCATCGTGGAGTTGATGCGGTGCTGACGATCGGTTTGAATTTTGCACAGCCAGACGTGCTGGGACTCCGCCGAGAAGTCGATGCAGGTGATCCTCTTTGAGTGACCTTCAAATATTCTCACGATCCCTGCCTCAACCTCACAGACTTTGAGCTCCACATTATTCCACCAGTGACAACCCTCGATACCCCCACAGCATGTGCTTCCTGTTGAACATCCCGTGCTTCCTCTAGTTCCTTACCCGCTTCTAGGTCCCGTCGACGAGTGATCTTATCATCAGATCCGCTGATCATTCGCTTGCCGTTCAGAAAGTAGGATATGGATGGAATAGCCTTTTTGTGACCCTCCCAGGTCAACACGGGTGTTAGAGTCAATTTCTTTGCTGCCGCAGTGGGCTATTGCGATATAGAATCCATGTCCCGTTTCTCCAACAGCGAGGTTTAGCAGATGTGGACAATGTTTGATTTGAAAGTATTTGTAAGGACTATTGGCGAGGCTTTCTCGTATGCTGTGGCCTGACGTTGATAGTAATTTCGAAGGATGTCCAACTACCAGCAGTAAGACACTTTCATGACATTTATCCAAGGAAGATGAGCTATATCTGTGCGCTCTCTTACAGCGGTGGCTGTTATGATATTCTGCATTGTGAGTTTTTACTCGCCTATTTGAGTCGAGTGGATTTTTGAACGGTTTTGTTTGGGTAGGATGGACAAAATACGTGACCTGCAAGACGCTATCGAACATGTGTTCTGTGAGTCCCGCGAAGTAGAGATGCACGCTGCGGATCAAGCGGAGACGTGTCGACAGCTCCCAGAGGCTAATAGCTCGCTGAAGACGCTGCTGTAGCACCTGAAAAGGTACGCAAGCAACTTGAAGGTCAACTTGTGGGGTGCACAGAGGTCTTGAGGAAGGCGAGAGAAGAGGTGGATATGATGAGGATGTCGAAGCAGACGCAGAGGATTGCGTTATTGGATGAGCTTAATTCGACGCAGACGGAGAATGGGAATTTGAGGGTGCGGCTGAGGGCGAAGAAGTAAGTGTGAGGTTGGTCTGCAGTATACATATCTATGATAGTGTATGAATCGGTGCGTTTTGTTAAATTTGTTGAATTCGGGTTTTGTTGAGTGAGTGCCGGTGTAGGGGTTCGATGGAATGTCCTGATACCTAATCGACGGGGAATTTCGTACGGAAAAGTAAGATGCAAGATTCACGTTTTGGGGAACATTTTTGACAGGAATATCTACTAGTAATAACGAATAGAAGTCGTCAATTGATGCTGGAGCCGATAGTATACGAAGGAACGACTATTTTCACTCGTCTATGGTTAGTCTTCCTCAAATTCATCCATCTCTCCGCATTTGACTCGAAGAAATAGCACATTAAGCTGTCCCTTCAAAATGTGGAGATCCCTGGATTACTATTGGGCGAAAACATTCGTATGGATAGTGCGAGGACCGTCTCTGATCCTCGTCACAGATGACTGAGTGACTCTCATTCATATATATTCCAAATACTTGGACCAGTACCACTGGTTCAGAGTCAGGTCAATTACGACGCCATCACTGATACCAACCTTCCACCTCTTCACGGTCGAAACGGAGGTTCATTTGGCAGTATGCATCTCCTCACTCTTGCAACAAAGGATGGGAATCGGCATGAGCTCCAGAACGTCATTCGTGGCCCCATGGCCACGAGTTCGATTGTCTTCTGAACAAAAGATCGGGAAGCAACCCGACGTAAAGTTGAAATGTCTGGTCCAGCGACTACACATGAGACGTGCTCAAGACGAGACAGTGCATCACGGAATTCCAGGAAGAGCCGTCGAACACGTGGGTAAGTGGCTTCGCGCGTCCCCTCAAACCAGATTGTCAGTCTTCTTAAATTTGGTGCGCCTTCTAAAATGTGATGTAAACAGTATCTCCAGATTATGGGATGCCACAATGGCAGAGACTGGTGCACTGTATGACTGCGAGCCACAACCCTATCGATATAGCGAGTATTGCTGACCTGAGTAGTGAGCCCTGTCAGGGTAATTTCCTCGACATTCATTAGAATTGACTCAGATGGGTGCGAGTATTCAAGGCTCGAGGGCCACATGAGGCCAAGTCCCAAATGCCTGATACTAGTGGAGGGGCCGACAATCCTATTGAGGTCCCAGGGGCATTTGTATGTATGCTGGCCTTTGAAACGCAGAGTGTGAACTGGGCGACCAAATATGAGGGCGATTAAAAGAAAAGGCTCAGCAGAGACTTCCGTTAGATGTGGCAGAAATGTGGTAGGAAATACCGGCACCCCCTCCAAGTCACGCACAGTGGTAAAATAGATATCTGTGGTACATAAGCCAGTGAGAATGAGATTATGGATGCTATTCTGCCTCTTTAAGAAGCTTAGGAATTCGAAGTCGACACCATAGGTGCAATGAAAGATATGAAGCTTGGCATCACAGTACTGAAGGACAGACGAGTAGCATTTTTGGGAATGGATAAGCTTGAGTGTTGAGAGACAAGTCAGATTTTTGAGGGCCAATGTGAGATTATCCAGGTGCACATCAGGACCGTCATAGACCATAATTGTCGGATATGTGAATATGAAAGATTTTACTTTCTCTGCAAGATGGGGATGTTCTGCAAGTGTGGTGCAGACATCTGAGTTGTCAACTGTGATGGACTCGTACAGAGAGTCAACTACTGTATGGTGGAAGCTAGTGCACACTCGGCAGAATGCAGTCAGGTCATTAGAAGAAAATTTGCTGAAAGAAAAAACGACGAGCCAGAGCTCAACAGGTAACTTGTTAACTGCCATGATTGAGATCCAAGGTAGCCTCCCCTATTGGACAGAACATCCGAGACTATAATCATTGCGTGATAGCAGCTCAGGGGTAAATGCGCTACTTATATTCAAACATCATTTGTATTACTGACTCAACCAAACCTCGGCTCGGTCTTGCACAGTCGTGTGCTTTCGCTCCCTCTCCGTGAGTTGACCTACCAGCCAGACCAAGCCAAACCCAACAACCTGTCCATCTTCCACGACGAACTACGCCGTAGCCTTGGATGTCCCTATCTCAAAGGGTGTACTGTCGCGCCCACATCCTTCCGGGAACAATGTGGTGTACTAAACCACGAACGTGTTTCCACACCGATGCACGCTTCGAATGTAAGATGACCATATGCGAGGCCATGCTGCGAGTAGCTGAACAGACTGGGGAGCACTCGATTATCCTGCATCCACCGCACTGCGTTACCTTGTCATTGTTCCCGGAGTTCGAAAGGCGGCCTCAGATAGCGCATCCACAATACATCATCTTTCGGGCTGTCATGTGGTCCATACGGGTAGTCATAGCTAGCTCACGCTCAATGGAATCTTGTGCTGGAGCGAAGGATTTGAGCCGAGCTTACCCAGGAACACCAGACACATGAGAGAGGATGTCCTTCATATTCGCTTTCTTGGACGCTCAGTCATCCACCAATTGCCATTCTCCCGGAAGGATATATTGTACTAAGGTGTGCCAATTAAATTCGCACAGAGCGGGAGGAAGCGGCGTGATGTTTCTTCCATGCTCATAGTCATCCATCAAAATTCCAAGAGCGCTAACGCAGAAAGCCTTGTATATAGACGCCATGTGGAATAATGTCTGGAAATTGCAGCTTCAGAGTTCATAGGAAGAAACTTGAGCAATTCGCACGCCTTCTGTTGTCTTGTCCTCGTCCTCCGTCATGTTTCCCCATGAATGAAATTCTGGTTCGCCGTACCTCGGGACAACTGCGACAGACAGTCCAGTGATGTTCCAAATATCAAGGGTCTCTTGGATAGAGTTGGAGAGCTCTGAGGTGATAACTTGGCCATTGTTTACCCAGACAGAATCAGCTAAGAACAATAGCTGGGAAAGACGGGTGAATGGCTGACTCAAGAAGCCTAATGCTATACTCGGCAGTTTAGCCATGACATTGAGAAGGGGGTAGCAGGATGGGTAGTCGGTGACCAGCCTTGCGAGATCTTGCGCTCTGAATCAACAAACATTTTGAGAGCGACATGCGGAAACAAAAGATAAAATTTAAGAAACCTACCAACTTATAATTATCTTCTTCCATACCGGACCGTCTCGAAGCGTTCAACGATGTGCGGTATCTGAGCGTCACTCATGAAGATACTTTGCGCATATTTGTCCATTCCACGTATGTTTGTTGTATATCGCTGCCCCTAGATTTTAAAAGCTGCATTATGATGTAGAGATTTTCAGGTCGTATAGCCAAGATAAGAAACCTGTCAGCTGATCTTCCGCTCGGGACCTTCTCGAAGTTCAGGTACAGTCTAGAAGGTACATACATAGGCACTGAATGATAAATTGACTATCGCCGAGGACTCCTCTGCCTGCAGGAATCAGAGCACGAGTTGGGCAGATGACCAGTGGCTCTTCGTTCGATCAAGACGTCTGTATGAATCTGGGACATCGAATGATTCTTAAATGACGTCCCCATTTCTTTCGATCTGGGAAAATCCAGAGCCAAGACAATGTGATTCGTGATAGGGGCCTTGCTGGGCTGTGATAGTACAGGATAAGACCTACTAATCCGAAAGCACCGATTGCATCATGATGGAAGGCAGAATAGAATATTTCGGACTTTGAAAACCATGGGAAACTGGGTATATTTTTAATATATACGCCGATATTCAACCCTGATACAGTAGGAATAAACTCATATGTTGCCTCGGTGAACGTTAACAACAATACGTATCATAGACGAACCAGCTGAGCGCAACGATCTTGATTTACAAAGTTCCGTCGATACCGGCTCAAATGCCCAACGATCAAACTGATTGAGCACTGTAATCATGCTATAGGGCCCCTGGGCTTATCGTGGACATGAATAGACATCTTCAAAAAGCCCGATGGCAGCCTGGGTCAGTGACAGATTTCAAGCTTCAAGCTTAGCCCCGTTGCATAGCCTTTCTGATTATGGAAGCAGCCTAGAAGGCCTATTAAAAGTTATCTTCAACGTAGTCAGTTCATTCTGCGGCTTCAAGCAGGATCAGTGTTCAAAAATTGACCTAGGAGTGGTTGAATTATATGTTTTTGTGGGCTTGAAACATTTCGACGGAAGAATTCTCGTAATTACGCCAGTGATGACACTTCTAGATTGGGTAGTTTATGACATTCTGCATCTTCAGCGCGGCATTACCCTCTTGCCT